TTTTTTTTTATTATCATTATTTTTGGTTAAAGTGTTGTGGCCCGAACGTTCTCTTTTGAATGCAATTCTATTCAGTAAATGTTTGAGTCACATACACAAAAAAATATATTAAAACGCCAGAATAGCTGCGGAGCTAGACTTTGACTAAAATAAAATATATAACAAAATAAAATTAAAATAATGAAACATAAGTTTCATTCAAACAAACAACTTTAATACGTTTTTAAGAGTAAAATCAACAATGATATTACGAAAGAGAGTTTGAATGATATTATAGGAGATGGGAAAGTAGACTGAGGTGTTGGGAGGCAAAAATAAAACTGAAATGAGACTATGAACTATGAGTTAAGGACAAGTATGAGAATTTCGGCAAGGAAAAATGCGGTCTGGCAGGTGCTCAAGGGCGTCTCTTCTAAGTACGTATATGGAAGGATGAAGAGTATTAAAGGTGTTCGACTTGATAAAAACATAATTTACAAGAAAAGTTCTTTAACAAATAATTTCCCATAGTATAACCCAATTACAGCGTATATAATATAATTCCGAAAAATAAAATAGCACCGGTTGCAAATGTAAATGCAAAGTTTAGGAAGGTCTCCTCGATACATTTATCAGCGTATTGATCTACTTTTTGTTTCTATATAAGGAGAACAAATTTTTATAGTATAACCCAATTAAGGAAATAATTATTGTAAAATCAGCTCTACGCATTCTTCAGGGTATATTCAAGTCGGGCACTCCCGACCGAGCACACTTTTTTAATCTAGCTTATAAACTCTTTCAATAAAACATAAGCTTTAGGTAGGTAGAGCTATGACAGCTAGCCCTAAGCAGTGTGCTATTATTTCCATTATTTCTATTATTATTATTAATATTATTATTGTTGACAGGAAGCCAGCTCGACGGCTGCTCTGCTTGGCATCATAATGACGACACACTTCAGCTGACCATTGAGAGCATTTCAGACAATCGTCATGGCAATGGAGTTGAGTGCAGCAGGAGGAGCAGGAGCAGCAACAGCAGCAGGAGGAGGAGAAGCAGGAGCAGCAGGAGGATTGGCAGCTCGTATCAGAAAAGAAGGCAAACAATAGCTCAATAGCAGTTTGTCGTGCGATTCTCTTTGCACTGGTGAATGGTGTGTGTGTGTGTGTGTGTGTGTGTGTGTCATGCATGTTTGCATTCGCTGAAATGCACACACCAAAAGTGGCACATACATCATTTTATTCTTTATTTGCCAAGTACTTCCGCTTTGCTGCTCTTTATGTTGCCTATTTTCTGCTCGGCATTCTTCACTCACTGACTGATGGACTGCATGAGTGACAGACAGATTGACTGAATGACAGACTGACAGATTGTCAGACATGCATTGTGGCTATATTTATTTTGACATGCATTTTTCTACTTATTTATTTTATTGTATTTATTCATTTTTTTGGCTAAGGCATCTCTTTGCTTGACTCTGTCCCATAGACATCAACAGCAGCTGTCCTTAAGCTGCTTTGCCATATGGACGGCCAATATGATTATTATCTTGGAATATCTTCTTCTTCTTTTTTTGCCAATCAATATAACATTATACTAGAAAATATATGAAATTATCATTTAAGCAATGTTTTTAATGTGCTTTCGGCTTGTTTATGACTTGTCTAATCTCTCGTAAATAGCTTCGGGCTCTTGCCTGGTTTTGTCAGAATTTAACGCGCTTCACTATTTGCTGCCTTTCAAACTCGATGCTCAGCAACTAATGCTATTTTAATGTACTTCTGCATTAGGGAAGAGATAGTAGAGAACCTTCAATGTGTGCTGCCGGATTTTATTATTCTGCACACATTATTATGAGAAATATGCATGAGAGTAGGCAAATAAAGGTTTTAATATTTAAAAAAATAAAAATAAAATAAAAA